CCGCGAGAATACCTGCAAAAAAAACTCAACGCCGGAAGTGTTTCCGGCGTAGAGCCTCCGACGCTCAAGTTAGTATGTTAGAAAAATGAAGAGGAGCTGCTCTGAGAGAGCAAGCAGCAGAAGAGGAAAATATAGAATGAATGGGAGTTAGGGTTTAGGGCTACCTCTTCTCCTTTATATAGGAGGGAAAATTTACCTAAGATGCCCGAAATGCCTAAAGTCGATGGACCTGAAAGGTCCAAATTGCCCTGGTCGATTCGTCTCCCCTCCTTGCTGAGTCATCTCCAAATTCCCTCTTATCCATAAGGGGACAAGAGGTTCTAAGGAATGTATCAAGTATGTGAAGTCGACTGTGTGCTTTGCGCCTCGAGGTATGAGGAGTCGACATCGAGTATCTATATGTTGACTCAAGCTCCAGCTATTCAGAGGTCACGCTCTTGTCAATTCTCAAGTGGAAGTCGACTACCAGGGAGTCGACTGAATCAAGTCGACCTTCATGAGTCGACCTGCACTGGATCTGCCCTCTCAAGCGTGCATTAAGGAAGAGTCGACTTTGGACGAAGTCGACTTGAGCACATCATCTAACATATGTCGACATGCTTGGCGGAGCCGGCTACTTTCTAGTCGAGTAGAGACCCTTTGGGCAGGTATATCTTTATATGGCTATATCACATGACAATGGTAAAATAAATAAATATTATGAAATATCTTATATTATTTTTTTCTATATTATAAAACTCTGCGTCACATCTAGTTATGTGCAAGAGAAACAAATTTACTCAATGCGATCGATATTCATAAGAGGTGCAGTTGAGTTTTTTTTTTTTCCTAATTTTGCCCTCATAAAATATGACTCAACTGATCATTAATCCAATTGCATCAATAAATTTATCTCATTGGAAAAATAGTATTATGATTGCGAGCTCAGTATATATATATACATAACACCATCACTTTCTCTCAAAAATACCAAAAAGAGGAAATTAAATTGTTAGTTAACTGTGAAAAAAATAGTTAAAAGATGTCCAATTTCATTGGTAGTTCATTATTATTACCCATAGCCATCCTATTTCTATTGCTCCCACATTCTTTGAGCGTCGAAAACTATACTCAGCAATTGATAGGCAACATTTGTAGGAGAACGTATAATTACGGGTATTGTATCAATGTGTTCTACAAGAATTTGTATAAGCCCACGATTGATATCAAAGGATTAACCGAAATAGCGTTGACGCAGACGTTATTACACACGTCGGATACCCTGAAATTCATATCGAAGTCGTTG